TTTTTTGCTTATTTACTATCCCATACTAAATTCTATTATTACAGGGGTCTTATTTTTCCTTCTAGTAATCACATTCGAGTCACCAACTCAATTCTTGTACGAGGATATAGCCTTTGGCCTATACTCTTTTATTGTCTCAAGGCCTGTCACCTCTGGTCTTTTCCTTCACTTGACTATAGACTCTGTCATTCTATCATATTTTGTTTTACCGTTATCATCATTTATCACATCTTACTCATAATACTTCAATTACTCTCTTCTTATTCTCCGGCTAATATTTCTATTTATCACTTTATGATGATAACTTCAACAAAACATTCTTTCACTTTTAGCTCCCCTTGCTTCATCTCACTGGCTCTTCAGGTCACCTAGCATTCTCTCTTTACTAGGAACGGGAGCCATACAAAGGTAAATATTTATCCCTTCTAGGATTCCAGTGCCAATCTTCTAAATTTTTCTAGACATTGTAGTATTCATATCTAAATGTACTATGCTAGATTGCACCATCGGGGTGTCTCACAAGGAGAACTATTACCACACTTTCAATATCCTTTGGAAATGTTAGCTAATGATAATAATCCTTCTACCATTTTGGGTTACTATAACCCCAATTGGATCTTTCTATCCCCTTCTTCTCTTAAACTATATATGTCAACTCTCATAGGGCATAACTGGATGGGTGTGGCCAATTGTACATACCTCTGTTACTGTTCAAGGTAACTCAAAATGCTTATATTTCTCTGCTTGAATTGCAAATACTGATAATATTCATTAGCTGGGTACCTCGTACTCTTTTTAAACTTGCTTCTTTTACTTATTCAAACTTGTATCCACCTCCTGATTCTCTCGTCCCTCTTTACCATATGGATGGATAGATATTCACGCCTTGGGGCTCCTTATCAAGAAGCTCACACATGTTAGTACACACATGATTTGCTGAAGACCTTACATTTACTCATCATAAGCATGATGAAAAATCGAGTTCCTCTAACTCACCTCTTCCAGAGCCACATTCAATCTCTTACCAACTGTCTTTGTGGATGTAGGTATCGTTGTATTACGACTAAAGTCGAATTTAGGAGTTTGAATTCTTACAACTGAGCTCTACCACACGATCTAGAATAAGAAGAAAGAGTGACAACCCTAAATGCCCTGTAGCCTCCTGCTTATAAGTGTGGTGCACAACACACCCATAAACAAGATTCTACTAGACACGGCTTGTAGACTCCCTAGGAAAGAACTGCTCTAATACCATTTTTCTCACGACCCTAATAGGAGGGCCGCAACGGGCACCCGCTACCCTATCCAACCGTGTACCAACTTAACGTATCTTTCCTATCATACCACCCATGGGTGAATGGGCCAGAAAGGCCGTCATGATATAACCAGAATAAAACATAAGGGAATGCTTGACATAGGACGACCCAAGATGTAGTGCAAACTTATAAATGTGACATACGGTCATATGAGATCCAAAATGAACACTTGTACAATGAACATAGGCCGACAAGGCCATACAACCTTTCATATACATGACATCTGTCTACAAGCCTCTACGAGTACATACACATCATAAAGGTCGGGACAGGGCCCCGCCATACCAATCAATACATGTCCAAATCATACTAACCAAATAGGCAACTTCGGAGCAAGTGGAGTGCAACAACACCTTCTGCTGAGCCGATAGCCTACTAGGAGGAATGCCATCCTGTCTATCGGGACCTGCGTGCATGAAACACAGCGTCCCCAGGCAAAAGGGACGTTAGTACGAATAAAGTACCGAGTATGTAAGGCAGGAAAGCATAAACAAGAACAATAATGTAAAGAGAGATAGAGGAGATACAACCTGTAACATCTGAGTGCCTCTGGGGGCTACTGACATGAAATTCATAATATATATATATATATAAACTTTTAAAAACATACGCCTCTATGGGCATCATCATCTTCATATCGAACCCGGCCTCAAAGAGGACTCGGTAAAAATGTACCCAGCCATCATAAGGCTCGGTAGAACCGTACCCGGCCACGTGGAGCTCAGTAAACCCAACTGATCAGTGGTTGCACAATAGGTGCCGTACCCGGCCGACAATAGCGCGGCTCGGTAGAGTAAAATAGATACTATATATAATGCATGCTAGACTCATGGAATCACGGTCTAAACCTTTCGAAGTGACTTAAGGTCATTGCACCTTCTATTAACATTATGGACATCCATACCCTCAGTATGAACCTTAGTAGAATTCAAGGATCATACACGCATAGAATAACTTTATAAGGAAAGAACAACATGGACAACCTTAGTTCCTAGGAGTAGATCCGCTATGAATTAGCGTATCGTTTATGTTCATGTCACTTTAGATCATGCCAAAAGAAAGAAGTAAGTGCCTTAACATACCTTAAACATGTTGAGTCCTTAATACCTTCCAAGCAACTCTTCAAATAAGTCAACTCGATCTATCATATCATAAAGAGATTCAAAATCAGTGTTGAGCAAAGACTAAGTCTGTAACTTAAGCTAGTAGCTCGTCTACGTAAATTCGGGCAGCATATCCCTTGTAACAAGGGCCTCCTACAATACCATATACCAACAACAACAGCCAGGGAAGTCCATCAACCAATAAATATCAATAACAAGACACCATATAACAACAACAAGTCACAACTACTTCACGACGAGCGGCAAGCTCTGATTGGAATCCGTATAACCCATATCACCCCTTATAGACTTCTTACATTAATTTAACCGTATCATTAACATGATAATTAAGTCATTCATCAATGATTCCATCAGTATACCATATATTTATAACAAAGGAAACAATCCTCAACTCCAACTATCTTCAAAGTAACTTTATTCACTAGTTCATGTCTACTCCATCCATTTAACTTAATCAACATCAAGATAACCTTAAGCACATGCAAGAACACAATAAACACACCTATACAGTAACTTAAAGTCGAAATCCAAGTTATATTCAGCTCACAACAACCCTCAATAGCAATACAACACCATAGAAGTGACTTAAGCTAATCCAAGTACTATCTTGTAGTTTATCATCCTAACAACTTAACCAACATACAAGCAATCTTAGGCACAATTATTAGGCTGTTATATTCACCTTAGCCAGTAGCAAAAACTTGGAATTTCAGCAAAATACAGCCCACAACAATCCTCAATGACAACACAACCTCAAAGAGGTGTTGTTCTTCTCTAGAACTAAGTTTTGATGTTGAAATATGGTGTAATCACTTTGGAATCACTTCAAACCCTTGTGGTATCTGTTTAGAAGGGTTAGGAGAAGTTTGGAGACGAAGTTGAGTTGAAAATGAGATAAAAATAGGCGCCCCAATCGTTTATAAAGTGAAGTAGGTCGACCACCGCCTAATTGTTCCCATTGGGAGCTGCTTGCGCGGTCTCGCGAAAATGCGAATATCTCTGTACTCGGATATCGTATCGACAAACAGTTTAATGCGTTAGGAACTAGACTCGTAGATCTTCAATTTGGTAGGTAGATCACCCCATAATTCCAAGTATATTTGGAGAAAAGCTCATCTACATTTGACCTAAATTTCAGCAAAATTATGAATGTAACTTGTGATGACCTTTGCCAACTCTTATTCCACAACTTGCTTGCCTTCAAAACATAGAAAATGACTATCATACGACTAAATTAACTCATAGCATAACCTCCTTATCATGTTAAGAACTCTAGTGTCACCCCAAAGTACATGTTATAACATTCCAAACTTGTCGACTTTCGACGAAACTTATTTTCTTCAATTAGTTTAGTTTCTAAGATTTCCAACCCTCTTGGTACTTGTTATTCATGATCTTAAATATTTGTAACCTCCAAGGTAACATTATTAAGTGACTTTATTTGCTTCCAAATATAATCTCATTTTCGAGCTTACATCAATGGCTTACGACGTACTCTCACGTATGAAAATGTGGGGTATAACAAAAGATATAGTTGGGTTCGTAGCTCGGTGTCTCAACTGTCGGCAGGTAAAATATGAACATCAGAGACCGGATGGCTTGCTTTAGCAGATAGAGATTCTAGAGTGGAAGTGGGAGCGAATCACCATGAATTTCGTAGTTGGGCTCCTACGGACTTCGAGGAAGTTCGATGCTATTTGGGTGATTGTGGATTAGTTAACCAAGTCCACGCACTTCATTCCTGTGAGTACTACCTATTCATCAGATCGGTTGGCTGAGATTTACATCAGAGAGATTGTTCGCCTTCATAGAGTGCCAGTTTCCATCACTTCAGACCAAGGCACGCAGTTTACATCGCAGTTTTGGAGAGCCGTGCAGCGAGAGTTGGGCACTCGGGTTGATTTGAGCACAACATTTCACCCTCAGATGGACGGACAGTCCGAGCGCACTATTAAGATATTGGAGGACATGTTACGCGCTTGTGTCATTGATACTGGGGGTTCATTGGACCAGTTTCCACCACCTGCGGAGTTTGCTTACAACAACAGTTATCAGTCTAGTATTCAGATGGTTCCCTATGAGGCTTTATATGGAAGGCAGTGTAGATCTCCAGTGGGTTTTTTTTAGCCGGTGAGGCTAGGCTTTTGGGTACAGAGTTGGTTCAGGATGCATTGGACAAGGTGAAAGCGATTCAAGAGCGGCTTCCTACAGCACAGTCAAGAGAAAAGAGTTATGCTAACAGAAAGGTTCGTGATGTGTCCTACATGGTTGGGGAGAAGGTCTTGCTGAATGTTTCACCCATGAAGGGTGTTATGAGGTTTGGGAAGAAGGGCAAGTTGAGCCCTCGGTTTATTTGGTCGTTCAAGGTGCTTCGGAGGAATGGGGGATGGCCTATGAGCTTGCTTTGCCACCTAGCTTGTCAGGTGTACATCTAGTATTTCATGTTTCTATGCTCTAGAAGTATATCGGCGATCCACCTCATGTCTTGGATTTCAGCACGGTTCAGTAAGATGGTGATTTGACTTATGATGTGGAGCCAATGGCTATTATGGTGCGGCAGGTCCAAAAGTTGAGATGAAAGGATATAGCTTCAGTGAAAGTGCGGTGGAGAGTTCAACCCGTGGAGGAGACTACTTGGGAGACCGAGCTAGACATGGAAAGAAGATATCCCCACCTATTTGAGACTTCAGGTATGTTTCTAGACCCGTTCGAGGATGGACGTTTGTTTAAGAGGGGGAGGATGTAACGACCCGGCCGGTCGTTTCGAGAGTTACAGCCCCATTCCCCATTTTTTTGCTTCATTTGTGTGTTTTTAGCTGCATTATGTCTTACCAGGTTAGGTGGTTCGGTTCTGGAGTGGTTTTGGAGTGAATTGAGATACTTAGTCTCCTATTTGAAAGTTTAAGTTGGGAAAGTTGACCGGATGTTGACTTATGTGTAAATGATCTCAGATTTGAATTTTGATGGTTCCGTTAGCTCCGTTAGGTGATTTTGGACTTAGGAGCACGTCCGGAATGTGTTTTAGAGGTCCGTGGTAGAACTAGACTTGAATTGGCGAAAGTTGGAAATTTGGGGACTTCGGTCGGCATTGGAAAATTTGATATCGGGGTCGGAATGGATTTTCGGAAGTTGGAATAGGTTCATGATGTCATATGTGACATGTGTGAAAAATTTGAGGTCATTCAAACATAATTTGATATGTTTCGGCATCGTTTGTGGAATTCGGAAGTTTAGAAGTTCTTAGGCTTGAATCCGAGTGTAATTTGGTGTTTTGATGTTGTTTTGCGTGACTCAAAGGTTCGACTAAGTTTGTAAGGGGTTATATGACTTGCTGGTATGTTGGGTTGAGGTCCCGAGGGCCTCGAGTTGATTTCGGCTGATTGACAGAACAAATTTCGAAATTGGAGGAATTGCTGAAGTTGAACTTAGCTGTCATAACCGCACCTGCAGAGTGGGAGCCACAGGTGCGAGCCGCAGAAGCGGAAATATGACCGCAGAAGCAAAAGGAAGAGGGACTGGAAGAGTCCGCAGGTGCGAGGGGTTTCCCGCACCTGCGATGGTCGCAGAAGCGGAAGAAAGGGCGCAGGTGCGTGTGTTGGTCTGCAGGTGCGATGTCAATTGCGTACCTGCGATGACCGCAGATGCGGTCTAGAGGCGCAGAAGCGGTCCAGGGATTTAAAGTAATTTTCCGCAGATGCCGGAGGTTTTTGCGCAGAAGCAGCACTGCAGGTGCGCTTATTGAGCCGCAGGTGCGGAAAGCCTGGGCAGAACTATAAATAGAAGACTTTGCGAATTTTTGCTCATTTCTACCATTTTGAAAACATTGGAGCTTTTGGGAGTTTTTTGAAGGGGAATCAAGGTTATTCACTGAGGTAATTGGTTGAGCTCTATTATCATTAGCTTTGGTGTTTTTCCCTTGATTTCTCACCTAACTAGTGGAGTTTTGAAGTGAAAATTGGGGGTTAGAGCTTGGAATTTTGGAGAGAGTAATTTGGCGATTTGAGGGAACAAATGATGTCGGATTTTGATGAAATTGGTATGGGTAGACTCGTGAGTGAATGGACTTTCTAGCTTTGTGTTTTTTGTCGTATTTCGCGATGTGGGCCCGAAGGCCGGGTTTAAGCCGATTTCGGGATTTGAGTCCAATTTAGTAGATTTTCTTGTGGAATTGGTTCCTGTGCATATATTGATTGTGTTGTACTACTTTTGGCTAGATTCGAGACATTTGGAAGGCGATTCGAGGGGCAAAGGCATCGCGGAGTAGGACTTTTGCTCGGATTGAGGTAAGTAACGGTTATAAATCTGGTTTTGAGGGTATGAAACCCTGGATATCGTGTCGTTTAACTATTTTGGAGGTAACGCACATGCTAGGTAACGGGCGTGTGGGCATGCACCGTAGGGATTGTGACTTGGTCCGTCCCGTGAGACTGTAGAGTCGATTAGCCTACTGTTTACTACGTGTTCCCTCTGTTTTTATGGAAATTGACTGCCTTTCATGTTAGAAATCCTGTTTAGGCCTTGTGATATCACTGTTGAGACCCGTGAGGTCCTGTACTTGTTGAATTTATTGTTATTTGCTGTTTTGTTCTTTGTCATGATACCACTTGCGTATTTTACCTCTGCCCCCACCTATTTATCATTGATACATGTTATTATCTTTGTTTGGGCTGAATTCTATGTTTCTGAGAGCCCGAGGGACTGGTGAGGTTGGTGACTGAGATAGGGCCTGAGCGCCAAGCTATAAGCTATGTGAGAGTACATAATGGATCGGGTTGCACGCCGCAACGAGCCTCAGGGCTATATATATATATATATATATATATATATATATATATATTGGATTGGGTTGCACGCCGCAACGAGCCTTACGGTTGTATATATATTGGATCGGGCTGCACGCCGCAGCGATATAGCGCTTGGGCTGAAGGAGTCCCTCTAGAGTCTGCACACTCCCAGTGAGCGCAGGTACCTATTGAGTATGATTATTGAGGGCTGAGAGCCGAGTGATTTAGCTATCGAGATGAGCTGAGTGACTGTTGCCTTGAGAGGTTGTACTTGTTTTTCAGTTAATTGTTGCACTTAGTTGTTACTTGTCCTTGTTGTACAAATTCCTGATAGACTTGATATCTGGTTTACTTGATCACGAACCGATGTGACTTAAACTAATGAATTTCAAAGTATGACTGTTCTTATTTGAAAAATATTGAGATAACTCTGTTTTTCATAGCTCGTCACTACTTCTTAGTTCCCTATTTATTTCTGTTACTTAATGAGTTGGAAGTACCCATATTACTCCCTGCACCTTGTATGCAGATCCAGGTAAGACCTGTCGCAGGGATCGTTGAGCTCTTGCGTGGTTGACTGCTCGGAGATCTACGAGGTAGTTGCCAGCGTCCGCAACCCTTGGCTCTCCTTCCATTGTTGCCTTTCTTTCTGTTTTTATGGCATTTGACAGATTATTGTAGACTGTGATTCTAGACCGGTTGTAGATGCTCATGACTTGGTGACACCCTGATGTCGGGCTATCTTTTCCGTATTTTTTTTTTTGAGTTTAACTCTTCTTATGAAATCTCTATTATGAAAAGGTTTTGAACTATCTTCTTGTAAATTATCAATGTGTTTTTGGGAAATGTCGGCTTGCCTAGTCCCACGATAGGTGCCATTACGACGGGATTTAGTTTTGGATCGTGACAAGAAGTTCTGGAAAAAAAGGGACGAAGACAAAGTAGGTTAACAGATGGGAGATTTAGAATTAAAATAATTATAAAAATAGGTAAAGGGTAAAATAGAATTATGAAGTAATAAGTTAGGACATAATTGGAAAGAAAAATAGGAAACAATCAGACCACACCAAATTGGTTGTTTAGAAAAAAAATTTCGTTGTAGAAAGAGTACATAAGTGTCACAAAATCACTTACCGACATTTATTTTACATTTAAATCAAATGTCGGAAATTTCGATGTCGTTTTTTTTTCTCGACATTTAAATTAATGTCGTCAAATAATTTGTGACATTTAGTTATGAAATTATCAAATGTCAATAATTTGAGTTCTTCACCTATCTTGTTTGTGACATATATATAAATGTCGTTAAACTTTTTGTAGCTTTTGACTTTTTCTATGAATGTGAAAACAATTATTAGTCATGGCTAAGTATTAAACCAAAGATATAATATATTAAAAGAAAACAATTAGTAATTAACAATAATGTATTCAAAGTAACATCGACCCTCATTCCAAAACTTCAATTCCCAGTACAGTACAAATAATTTGAATCAAATACAGAGTTACTTCTTCAATTACATAAACTTTCCCTTGAAAGTTGCAAAACAGTCAACATCGGTCATAGTTTTAGCTTTAGTGTTCATGTTTTCCGACAGTCCAGGATTCCTCTGAATTAGTTGCTCTCACATTCCTCTAAACTCTTCTTCCAAGAACTGAAATTAAAAAAGAAAATAACCATTACTAAACTGATATAGGAAAACTACTAAGTAGCAAAAAAAACAATGCAATTGTACCTTATATAATATCTTGAAGAAGTACAGGAGTCATGCGACTGCTACTATCTACAAGAAACCATAAAAACACATTCAATACTAGAAGCTTAAGAGAACTAAATCAATTCGACATCATTAGCTTATGGAAAAGATCATTCCACTAATAGAGAAGGAGTTACATGCAATTGTAGGAAGTGTTTCACAGATGATGTACCCTTCTCAGCCAGCCATTTAGGCGAACACCATCTTTTGCAATCTTTTTCTGATTGCCATATTTCATTGTCCTAAGAATGGTGGATAATGCTTTCTATAAGCTAAATCAAAGACAAATAACATGAAAAATATTAGTCTGTTAAGGTATCATATGTAGAAAGAAACGATACAATCAACATCACCTTGACAAAATGGATGTTTTAATCAACTTGAGGCAAATAATAATAATTTTGCAGAAAGCTCAAGATATTTGACCCCAAAACTCCTAATAGTACAGAAAAGAAACTAACAATCTCTAGCATCATTGTACAGGCTTATTAATTCCTTCTCTACTCTTGAATTCACCAGAATCATAGATCAATTTCAGTCCTAACATCAATGTCAATGTTCCGTATCCAACTTAAATTGTCAATAAAGCTGATATTTCACAAGATACCCTACACCACCACAATCTAAATCATCAAACACAATCGTAATGGTCATTTACCTTCCCATCACAAACAAGTATCTGCAAGCTTCTTTTTCAATACTGTTTGGATTAGAGTCACCATCAAGCACAACCACAATAACTTTAACAGAAGACAAGTTACTATATAATATCCTTCTGTTGGAACCAACATCACATGATTCAGTAATGAAAAAGGTTCAATCCGTTAAAAAATATTTTAACAAGTCAAAAATACCAAGATCGAGATTAAACTAGTAATCCATATTGTTTGGCTCAAAAGTTAACGATATACTTTGTAAGCGATAAAACAATCAAAAATAAAAAAGGGGTAAATCGTAATCAAATATAATAAGCCTAGAGATGCAAAGATGATAATATTGTTGTAGATCTGATATTGCAAAGTGATAATGTTTACCAATAAGATATTTTCGTTAGAGGTAGAGATATAGAGAGAGAAAGCCAGAAAAACGAGAGAGTTGTATTAGATCAGATCCCCCTTTTACAATGTGGAGGTCTCCTTTATATAATAGGAGACCTTCCTCGAAAGAATCAAAAAGTTACAAAAATAGGTAACGTCTCCCTATCGTGGACGCTGAGTTCTAGACGATGTCGCTTTTGTCCTCACGGCCGAGTCGTACCTGCTACGTTGGTCGGCGTACACTCATTGGGCGTACCCACTGGCGTAGAGATACTGGGGGTCAAATTTGACCCTATACACTTTCAATATGTAAAGAGTGTTACTCCGTATAAATTGGAAAGAATAACATATTTCGTATTTAGATAACATTGGGATTTCATGTAAAAAATATTTAACTTCGACAACATAAGAAGAAAGTTGTTTAGGACAAGACAAAGATTAATATACAAGGCATACTCCTGAATAAAATTAAAATTGCGTGAAATTTAAAATAGCCAAATTTACAAGTGGTAATTGAAAAATAGTCATAGTTTTAAAAGTAACCGAAATTTAGTCACTTTTCATGTAAAAATAAATCTGAACGAAAACACTGTTCAAATCCAAAAAATATTCCAGTATAATATACTGGACTTCCAGCATAATATGCTGGAGTTCCAGTATAATATACTGAAAGTTCATAGACAGGTGCTCCAATCTCCAGTATATTATGCTGGAACTTTCCGTGTATTGGAGTTCCAGCATAATATGCTGGAAGTTTATACGCAGGCGCACCAATCTCCAGTGTATTATACTGGAACTTTTCGTGTTGCAACAAAATAGTGGCGATTTTTCAATGACTTTGCACGCTGGCTATTTTTCAATTACCTGTCGGAAAAATTGCTTTTTGGATTTCAATTTTTTGGAAGAAACAAAAGTGAATCCAAAATTGTCCACCAGATTTTGTCCAAACAAGAGCCCACAATCTCTCCAAGTGTTACTATATAATGTCTGCTAATTATAAACATGAACTATTAGAACTTGTTTCTAATTTCCATCACATCATATCCAAATAGCCATAAGTCATTTACTCTGGAGCCTTCAAGAATGACCAAGTACGTACTAACAAAAATATCACATACATAATTCCAAACAAAGTAGTAAGTACTAGAAACATCTCCTTCAAATCCTATAGTATAAACTAACTCTATTATAACATTCTTACCATCCAAAAGCAGCTAACTGCCATTAACTTCCCTAAACACAAAAATCTGAGCTGAGAAAATGAAAATGTCTCCTGCCCTTTCTTTGTTTGTCACTCAATTTCCCCTATGCAAATCCCAAGATTTTTCTCACAATCCTAAAATCTCCAATAAAGAAACCCCATGTCAAAAATCATATTCAGACGCCAGAATAAACAGGAGGAAGCTGTTGGGTACTAGTGGTTTGAACCTTGTAGCAGGGACTTTGGCTAAACCAGCAAGAGCAGAAACTGAAGTAACTTCAAGTAGAATGTCATATTCAAGATTCTTGGAATACTTGAATCAAGGTGCTGTGAAAAAAGTAGATTTGTTTGAGAATAGTGCTGTTGCTGAGATATTCAATCCTGCTCTTAACAAAGCTCAAAGAGTTAAAGTTCAGTTGCCAGGATTGCCACCAGAATTGGTGAGAAAACTTAAAGAGAAGGATGTAGATTTTGCTGCTCATCTCCCTGAGATGAATGTCATAGGACCACTTCTTGATTTACTTGGGAATTTAGCTTTCCCACTCATATTGCTTGGCTCTTTGCTGTTGAGAAGCTCTTCTTCAAATATCCCTGGTGGGCCAAACTTGCCTTTTGGATTAGGAAGGTATGTGTTCAATATAGCTTATGTTACTGCTGATTTACTAGAATAATAATATTACCAAGACCTCACGTTTTCGAGCCGCGAAAATAGCAACATCCTTTGTGGTTCGGTCCTTTTTCGAACCCTGCATATTGCGGAGCTTAGTATACTGGGCTGTTTTTTTTGTGTGGTAAGATTAGTCTACTTTGTTTGAACTTAAATTTCGGTTAGATATTGTAGGTTGTTGGTATATTTTAGGTTTTTCAATATTTTATAAATCTGTGTATTTTATTTTCAAGTTGGCTATTTAAAATCGCCCTATAATTAATAAAACTTAGGAGAAACAATTTCAATCATTCTTTTAATTTGTTTGCTGCTCCATCTCTTTATGAAAACCAACAGTATGCTATAATAGGAATTCCATAAACATGATCAAGATTGAACATTATGTCTAGTCAAGTAATCTTCAACAACTACTAATAACTGGTACTTGTTTGTGAATAATGCAGGAGCAAAGCAAAATTCCAGATGGAACCAAATACAGGAGTAACATTTGATGATGTGGCTGGAGTAGATGATGCAAAGCAAGATTTTCAAGAGATTGTTGAGTTCTTGAAAACCCCAGAAAAGTTTGCTGCAGTTGGGGCAAAGATACCAAAGGGAGTGCTCTTAGTAGGGCCACCAGGGACAGGGAAGACATTGCTAGCTAAGGCGATCGCCGGAGAAGCAGAGGTTCCATTCTTATCTCTCTCTGGTTCAGAGTTCGTTGAGATGTTTGTTGGTGTGGGAGCTTCTAGAGTTAGGGACTTATTCAACAAGGCAAAGCAAAATTCACCTTGTTTAGTGTTTATTGATGAGATTGATGCTGTTGGGAGGCAGAGAGGAACTGATATTGGTGGTGGAAATGATGAAAGAGAGCAGACACTTAACCAACTTCTCACTGAAATGGATGGTTTTACTGGAAACACTGGAGTCATTGTCATTGCTGCTACTAATAGGCCTGAAATTCTTGATCAAGCTTTGCTTAGACCTGGAAGATTTGACAGGCAGGTATAAAATGAGCTTTTGATTGTAAAATTCCAATACAGTTTCCAGAATGACTTCACTGATATTGATATTACATCTATTTTGTTATACACTAGGTAAGTGTTGGACTGCCTGATATAAGAGGAAGGGAAGAAATATTGAAGGTTCATAGTAACAACAAGAAGCTTGATAAAGATGTATCTTTAAGTGTTATTGCAATGAGAACACCAGGATTTAGTGGTGCAGATCTTGCAAACCTCATGAATGAAGCTGCTATTCTAGCTGGAAGGAGAGGAAAAGATAAGATTACCTCGAAAGAGATTGATGATTCCGTCGATAGAATTGTTGCTGGAATGGAAGGAACCAAGATGACAGATGGAAAAAACAAGATTTTGGTAGCATATCATGAAGTTGGACATGGTGTCTGCGCGTAAGTAAACGATCATTTCTTTCCTCTCATTTTTTTCGTTTATACTAAATTATATTACATGAAGCAACAAAAGAGAGTAATTTGCTCCTTATTTGTATTTTCAACCAACATCAAGTGTTCAATATGTCGGGCCCTTAGACAAGGTGATTAGATGAAAAATCCGGACAAATTTAAGTTGTCCAAGTATTCAGCCTTGAAAGTTTGTTATTTGTAATAAAAAACTAAGTACTAAAGAGTGAGTCCTTGTGCTTGTAGGACATTGACCCCTGGCCATGATGCAGTACAAAAAGTTACATTGATCCCAAGAGGGCAAGCTCGCGGTCTTACATGGTTTATTCCTGGTGAAGATCCAACCTTAATCTCTAAGCAGCAACTCTTTGCTAGAATAGTGGGAGGCTTAGGAGGTAGAGCAGCAGAGGAAATAATTTTTGGCGAAGCAGAAATCACTACTGGTGCAGCTGGAGACTTGCAACAAATAACTCAAATAGCAAGACAGGTACTTACTTATTTGGCACATCTTTTTGTTACACCAAATAAGGGAAAAAAACATAGTCGAATGCTCATAAGTATTAACTTGTAAATGTTTATATCATGAGCAGATGGTGACAATGTTCGGGATGTCTGAGATCGGACCATGGGTGTTAACTAATCCAGCAACACAAAGTGGTGATGTGGTGCTGAGGATGCTGGCGAGGAATCAAATGTCAGAGAAACTAGCAGAAGACATTGATGCATCAGTAAGGCATATAATTGAGAGAGCATATGAAATTGCAAAGAACCACATCAGGAACAACAGGGAGGCAATCAACAAATTAGTGGACGTGCTGCTAGAAAAGGAGACTCTTACAGGAGATGAGTTCAGAGCCATACTCTCTGAATTCACTAATATCCCATCAGATAACATAAACAGTAAACCAATTAAAGAACTGATTGAGGCCTAAGCAAAATTACTTCCAATGTACAGCTGCAGAAACTAAAAACTTTCACCAGATTGTATACGTGTAGTGTAGTGCAGAAAGCTTGATCAATGTAATATAACTTTCTGTATGAAGATCTAGCCGGAAATGCTTTATTAAGCTCAATATTTTTCTTTTAAAAAAAAATGTAAGAATGCACTATAATAAGGAAAATGGAAAAGGGAATACTTCTAGCAATTAAATGCTCTAATTATGGTATTCGATCGCTAATATTGTTAAGAGGAAAATACTTTATACCAAAACAGCTTATGTTTATTATTGGTTTAAAACTTAGATAACATACAGTGTACACACCCTTTATACCTGAAAAGCCAAAGGATTATACATGTTTATTTTCTTGGAAGTTGAAGGAAACAAGATTAAAAAAGAAGAAGGCTATAATCATATATATGATAGGGAAAATTATCGGATGATGAGACGCCTGGTGCAAAGGGTACAGTAATATCTGCGCTTAGTCTTGAAATAAAGAGGGACAAAGCAGAATCTCCACTGGCTCTCCATGTCCAAGGCTTGAACCATCCCTCCACAGTAAGGACATGCCCCTGGAGCTGCCTGTCTTTGTAATACCCTCTCATCTTCATCACATACAAACACCAAACACATGTTCAACTTCTTTACGTACCTTCCTTCGCCTGTGAAAATAGCAACAGGACTGCAAATTACCCAATCCTGATGCGGGGAGGTAACCGAACAGTGAGTACAATCTGGAACAGTTAACGAGGATCCATAGGAGGGCAAGTCTGATGCCAGCACCGCGTTAACAATAGCTCCAACAGCGTGTATTTGAGTTGTTGTGTATATGCAAGATTTACAGCAAAACTTGTTTTTTTCTCTAGTATATAAGGTGTCTGTTAACTTGCAGAAGAAGCTTAGATCACTAGGAATAACCAAGATATTGCAGAACAGAATAGTCACAATGATGGGGTTGTTGGGTCAAGAAAAAAGGAGATTTTGCTAGTTATATCTCGAATAAAAGGACTTAAGTACAAAACGTGTTGACGTCTTCAAGCTTTTATTTATGCTTCTGGATAAAATTTTCTTTTCCTTTTGTCTTTTAAACAATAACGAAACCAGATACTTTTCTTTCCAACACAACAAATAATACAAGTTGATACAGAAATAAGAGAAAACTGGTTTTTTATTTATTTTATTTTTCTTCCATGCTTACTTTTCAGCTTTTAGAACTTGACTTCTAACATGGAGATCAACATATTTTGTTCACATTGATCTCTAGTTGGTTATATGCTAGTCAATGCACCCAAAAAAAAAAAAAAGCTTTTTGTACACAATTGTATATTTAAGGGGGACGTTGACTCAGCATAGCAATCCTGTTTCAGTTGAGCTGAAATGATTTATGACAATTGTAGCACACGATATGTACACGAATGATTTAAGCGGACATGTGACAATACTAACAGAATCAATAGAGAATGATAAACACCTACAAGAAGAAGGGAGTTCAAGAATTTAAGAAACTATCGACCCTGGTGTTATCTTTCCTAGATAGAAACTTCATGCAAATGGGTGGTTTCACTCCTGACAAAGCTAGTATTGAACTGGGTAAAGTCCAGACCCCATCACCACAAATCAGTCCAGAAGCCACGGCAGGTCCAAATGCATCAGCCTTGGCCTTGTTTATCTTTGACCAAACGAACAATATCAAGCTCCCGAGACACATATCAATAGCAAAGTAGGAGCCGAGATAGAAGGGAATGGCCATCGCCATCGGGAGAGGAATGTACTTTGCCTTGTTCTTTCCCACGAGATCTCTGATGCCATTGATGACGATAGCTCCAACAAAGAATATATAGCAAAGGGTGAGGCAGTGCTTTGGCAGAGCTGAGAAACCTTCAACTCCTATGATAGACATGCTACGAAACACCAGTGCGTAAGGGGCAGGATATGCTGAACCTGGGGTACCTAAGCTGTGGAATGCCTTAAGGAAGAGCCAAAATACACATGGGGAGATGACACAACCCATTGCTGTGCCAATAATCTGGCTTATGAACATGGACCGAGGAGAAGCTAATGTCATATAACCAGTCTTGAAGTCCTGTGATAGGTCGGATGCAGTGGAAACAATGTTCATCATGACACCACAAGCAGCAAGTCCAGCAAGAACCCCTCCGTGAGCAGCCCCGGCCCATGCACCAATTGTGAATATTGCCAGCTTCCCATAGGTGGATGCCAATGACCAGTCAGTGAGACCACAACCATAAGCATTGCAGAAGGCTAGTACTGGTGCGAAAATATAAATCACTATGATGTGGTACCACTTAAGCTGATGGAAAATGTGTGGAAGTGTTATAATGGAGATGATCGCAATGCCAACATAACCGACTATGGCCACCCATGTCGGGATTTGATCCTTGAGGAAAAGCTCTGTTCGTCGCTGGTCATCAAAAGATATGGAAGGCTCCTGAGGAGATGGACGAGCGCCAACTGGTAGGACTGCACCTTCATTTTTATTGCGAAATTGCATATACAAACCATATAATGTTCGTCCAAGTACCTTACAGAAATTGTAGAGACCATCACCAAGGATCATGGCTATTGCTATGAAGACCTGCAATAGAAGAGAATTATGGAAAAGATATCTTAAGAAATGAAAATTTTGCCTCATTTTGGTCCTTATTTCTGGTCTAAAAGAAAAGGGAGGAGATTACCTTATAGCCCTGCAAGCCGTGAAAGCTGGCGGGACTCTCATCTGCAGGGTACCAATGACCCTTTCTGTCCTGAATCAGAGGCCACATTATACCCCAAGAAAGGATAGATCCGAGTAGCAAAGAGATGTTAATTAGATAAGGACATATCATCCCTACACCAACATATGTTGCTGAGAAGTCAAAGTAGAACCTGGTTGATTGGAAACAATTAAAATGTCAAATAAAAGTAAACAAACGTTGAAAGGATATATTGAGATGTTATTGAACCCCACACCTCAAATTATATTAAAAAGCTAATTTTGTAAATAGTTTTAATGAATATCAACTCATCTCTTTCGGTTGCGAGAGTGATGACTGAAATTGAACCTTTATCATGCAGGTAATTTGGAACTAGAACCTACCTATTCTCATAGGCTTTAAGACCAAACGTGGGAAAGCTTGCAAATCCACAGTCATCCCCAGCAGTGAAAAACCATTGGAAGAAACCCCATAGGAAGCTGAAGGTGAAGAACTTTCCCAGAGCTTTTACTTGTTTCCTGTAGTGATCGATTAGAAAGAAACAACAAAATTGTAATCATACCATCTGTATTAATGCTGACAGAATTTACTAAAATGTGAAATATTCTTACTTTGCTAGTTTAGCTCCTTGTGGGGTGTGGAAACTGTTGATAAGGTGAGCAGTTGCAGTGCCACTTGGATAAGTCAGTTTGAAGTCTATGATCATAATCTGAAACATAGTTTTTTGCATTATCAAGATACAGTCTAGAAGAATAAAATAAGGATGACTAAATCAAGTGTTAACATCTCATTCCAAGTACTATGTATGGCATAAAGCTCTAGTGTTTCGATCTGTGTTTAACAAATATTAAGGTTGATTACGCCCTAGAGAAGTGTCAAACCCAAAAAAACTGTGTAGAGGAAAAAAGTAAAACTGATAACTCCAGAAACAAAATATTGAGACAGCTTTATCTTTTGCAAGAAAATTTGTTATACATATGTACTACACATATCCTGAGATAGGAATATACCTTACGAAGTGGAACCACTGAGAAAAGCCCAAGAAAGCTAACAACAAAAAGAAACCCTATCATCCATCCCAAAGAGGGGTTCTTAATATTAGCTTCATTATTAGCTTCAACTGCCTGTTTGGCAACAACTTCACTCATGCCAAACAGATAGCTTCCAAAACCTCCTGCTCATCCAAAGTAACATAAACAAAAATTGAGTAAGAGTCATTGAATTTGAGACGCTCCTATCATTCTGAAGAAGAAAAACAGGAAACATTTACATATCTTTTCAAACAAAGGCATGGAGGAAAAATAAACGGCTGCTGCTAACTCAATGAGCTAGTGTTGCGAGATAATGCAGGATTTATCTAGGGAAATTCCATTATAAAAAAGTTGTGTGGAAGAACAAGGCTCAATATTGGCAAAGTTAGTACTCAGGTATAGTTAACAGTCACACTCATTCCAGTTTATTTGATGCTTCAGTGGACTTAAACAAAAAGGAAGATTAGAGGACCTCAGTTTGCATTACATTCCATTTTTAATTGAAATAGCCAAACAAAGCTGCAAAAAGTTTTTTTCTTGATTAAACTCCCAAAAAAAAGAGCTAGCGGATTTCTTATACTACTATATTAAGCATCCCACTGAGAAAATAGTTGACTAGATTCTATAGAACTTAGATTGTGGTCTGTTACATCCTAGACTAATATCATCTCCCTAATCAACTCTTCAAATAGCTTTTCAATTTGTTAGCAGTATATGCTATCATCTACAACAATCCGTTTGCCAAATACACCGCAATAAACTCAAGTTTACTCGAAAGCAAATTCAATGAACTCTAGAAAAACCATCTTGACAAAGTCAGCCAAACATGATATTCGTGGCACGTTGATTTCTAAATGACATGTCATAAATTTATTAATTTGGTGCAAATACCGAATACATAATATTTTTCCATGTTAGATAGTCTCAAAATGGGAAAGGAATAATGAAGTCTGAATACACTAAGAAAGTGATTATGTTGTAGCTGCTACTGCGAATTTTGTACAGTGGACTTGTGGAAAATGATAGGAGCAGCTGTCAAAATTAGATAACAAACAGATGACATTCAATAAAGTAGAGTTTAACTTCTATAGTATAGTTGCCTCCCTTATTTTCTATGCTATTGATCACTTAGGGACAGTTACGAGAAAATTCACTAATTGTCATGACACATAATTAGTGGAACCAATAACATAAAAATAAGGTACAAAACTTGCTATGACATATTAAATAATACTGTTAAGTGCATATAAGATAAATTCGATAAACCCTACAATTTCTCCAATTTACGTAAGAGTGAAGTCAGCCTACCACTAGAAGCCAGTCAAGTAAATGACACTCCATTTTTCCTGGATAAGTGGATGGACTTTCAGTTAATCGTGAGTTCACATTCCATTCTCATAGAAAAACTTAAAACACCAAGAACTATATAAAAAACAATTCTCATGTAACTCTTATTAATAATACAGGAAAGTGGTGTTCCTTTAAGAAGACTGAACACATGTTGTTGAGTGATGGCGAATTCATCAACCATTCCACCAAGAAGCTTAGTGGGATTTAAGTTGTTATTTAATGATAGCAACTACAACTTGACATGTTTTAGACTTATTTAGGTCTTTCTTATTAATACTTTTTTCCATACTCATTATTCATGTGCAAAATTAAAGTTTTGAAATAGTGTCATATACACTACTTCTCATTCTCAACATGTTCTAACCACTAACTTGGTTATTTAGATAATTGATTACTACTAGCCTGTTTGGCCAAGCTTCTAACATTCGTTTCTTTTTTAAAAAGTATTTTTGGTGAGAAATAGTTTGTGTTTGGCTAATTAATTTGAAAATCGCTTTTGAGCAATAATTAATGTTTAGTAAAGCTTTTAAAAAGTACTAAGTGTATTTTTCTCAAAAGTGCTTTTTTAAAAAGTATTTTTGGGAGGAAGCAATTTTTTTCCGTCTCAAAAGCTACTTTTGTTTCTACTCGAAAGCAATTTTTGTTATTCTAAAAGCTTGATCAAACACTTCACTTTGAAATAAAACCACTTTTAGCCACATAAAAAACCAAGCACTTTTGGCCAAAAAGATCTTTGGCCAAACATGCTATATATTTGTTAGGGATGTTATTAGGAAGATAACTTCTAAGATGCTTTTGAAACAACCTCTCTGCTCTTTTCGGGGTAGGGGTAAGGTTTGCGTACACTCTACTCTCCCCAGACCCCACTAGTGGGATTTTACTGGGTATGTTGTTGTTGTTGTATGCTAAACACCATAGAACTATACATTACTTTTTGGTGGACAACTATAAAGGTAACAGTAGGAGTAGCATTTATGGCTATTCTAGAAATTCACAAACCTTTGAGCCTAATTAGATGGGACCAAAGGGCCCATACAACCTTTCACCCGTGCATGGTCAAGCTGCTATTATATTCAACGTGGACCCTACTCAACCCACCAAGGCTTGAGACCAAAAAGGGCCCATGAGAAATATCCCATGGCCCAATTTAATGATTCAACATGCATGCTTACTAATCTACTTTTACTACTTTTTGCTTATCCAAGTTTCTTAACAAACTGCGATATTATATACAAAAATTACACTTTAACCTCTAGAGTTTAAACTATTTCTCCTTTAACCCCTACCACTTCTGCCTTATGGGTCATTTCTGCAAGCCGAGATACTCACAAGACCTTAAATATGGAAAAATTAAATTGCAATAAATGCATGAAAAATTTGTTGAAAAGCACTAATTATTCCAAGCTTGCAGCTTAACTGTTTGATAAAAAGCTTAACAGAGAATAAACTTACCGCTAAAGGCAATGCCGGAAGTAGCGACGACACAGGTCTGAATGACAGTGTTTTCTTGGCGAGTGATAGGTTGCTTGAGAAACCCAGATTTCTCAAGAAGACTAGTCCAAGTCTTGACAAAAAAGAACCCCAAAAGCCCAGCAGAAACATTGAGGGAAGGGATAATACCAGTGGTGAGATTCAGCTTCATGACAATGAAAGTGAAAAGAACTCCCAATATGAAACTGACAACAAATGCCCTCAAAGTTAACTGGCTTTGCCATGAAGGTACTTCTGTGGACTCAAATATCCTTTCTACAGAGTCCAAAGCTTCTCCTTCTATTTGGGTGTCATCATTTTTCTTTCTGTCTACACTGTTGGATCTATCCATAGCCATACAAAGAAACCTTTTTTGGGTTTCTACGACTCTGTTTTTCTTTGTTTTCTTGAAGTTGAGATGGGTATTAAGCTATATATATATATATAGTGGAAAAGTTGATGAGAAATAGGTCATAATAGGAAGTTTCAAATGAAAAAGGAACCTTGTTTTCTTGAGGTTTATATTGAGGAAGTTGATCAGAAAAGGATACTATGGGATTTGTCAAAATCAAAGGGGGGATATGGTAGTTCTTATCAGATGGTGAATTGGCCCCACTGTAATACTATAATCAATTTCTAAGTGCTTAAATGGGAGTTCCGATTTGGACGCTTTTTTGGGTAGAAAAAGAAGGGAAAATGAATCTTTCTGAAATTAAAGTCAGCAAAAACTTGGGGATTCTGTGATGACTGAGACTCTGAAGCTGGAAAAACGGTACAGTGAGTAGTGAATACAGTCTATAAAACGGCATTGCACATTCGTTGGTTGACTAATTGGTTTTGGAGGCCAGCTTGCAATTATTTATGAGGTTTAACTTCTAACAAAAAAAACATGCAAACATTGGAGTAATTTTTTATCTGCCCCTTTGCCCATGAAAGTTTTTTCACTTTGTTTTGTTTTCGAAATCAGTATTTGGCTATAAAATTTTAAATTTCACTTGAAGAAGAATTTTGGAATTTTTCGAAAATTTGAAAAACTCCAAAAAGTTATTTTTCAAAATTTTCACTCAGATCATTTACAAAATTCAAAAACAACCCAAAATTATATTCATGTCCAAACACAACTCTAATTTTCAAATATCATTTTCACTTGAATTGTTTTTTTACTTTTTTTTCGGAATATTACAATTCTTATGTCCAAACGCCCACTTAATGTATAATAAATGAAAATACTAACTTGAAATAAGACAAATAAATTGTATTTGTTTTGTTAGTTAAATTTCATTTATACTATCCGTGGATCTAAATTAAATCCTTAATAATCATGTCTATACCAGATTCCTGCATGCTCCATTTAACAAAATACAAAGTTCTTTACAAGAAGTACGTTCTTGCGAGTATGATCTTTTTTCTTTTTCTTTTTTAGGGATTGCTTAATAAGTATAATGGTTTGTTTGATAAATACCAAAATTAAAAGTAAAGGAGTCCCATTGACGGATTTAGTATTTTGACCAAAGTGTAATCGCAATTCGCAACCATAGGTTTCAGCATAGACCACGCATATGCGCATATGAGATTTTTTATTAAAAAAAACTTATAACACTAAGGAGCAAGAGCACTTGAAGTCAACTTTGCAGATTCATGGCAAACTTAATATAGAAAATGGGTATGCAGCATCCTAAGTAAGTCTATACTTAACATTTATACGTAGCATTTCATGCCTTTAAGAATCCTCCCATTACTTTTTTCTTGGGTAAGAAATTCATTGGTATGGTGCAAATCTCAACAGAAATAAAAATACAACTATATAAAAAAAAATTCGATGGTGCCATATGAATAAAGTTGATGAAATAGTCAAGATGAGCAAGTTGATCCGACACTATTGACATAAAAAAAAAAATCGATGGTGCCATATGAATAAAGTTGACTTAGATCCTGAAATTGGGCAATGTGAAGTGAAACATAAGACATTGGAAGATATATACAATCATGTCATAAGAATTTGGCTCATTCCTCGGAGTGGGACAGCTCTTGTGAGTACGTAAATATATTAGTGTAAGAAAAGGAAGATGATAGAAATATTACTATAGATTGTCTGAGCTATTTTCTTATATACAAATTTGGTTATTTTTCTTGCTTCGGCTATGTGAAAATATTTTGTTGATCCATGATTACGACACTCGGTCAAAAATAGATGCTCTACTTTCACTGAATCACGTTAAAGCATGTGAAATACTGCTACTAAAGTTTTAACTATTTAAACTTTGAAGTCTAAATAACATTAATGTAAAGAACAAATATAAAGTTTATGACAGTTGGCAACACGGTGGCTAAATAACTTTTTTACAACATAAATCTTTAGAATCAAATCAGATAAACGAGTATCTTGTTTACCTTGAAAATGATAATTACAATTAAATTTAATTTTGTGATTCTAAAAATACGTAATATATTTTTATGCTGGTTGTTTTGGCAATAGATGCTAAATGAAAGACTTGGAGACTGGATAAGAGCTTGAAAACAGGGAATAATCAAACTGTATGGATGATAATCGGGGCCTCGAGCTTGCTTATTCGGGGCCTAGGGATCGAGTCCGATATCTTGCCCGGGACAGTCGATGGAGGGACTAACAGTTATAATAGATCCAATGACGGCTCTTTATGGTCAATGATAAGCAATAAATGAAGAACAATAAATAGAACGCAATGAATATAAGCAATAAATGTAAGTAGTGAGATCAAGAGAGTATGTTGGAGAGCAGAGAGAATATTTTTGTATTGAATATTGAGTATCAGTTGTCTACAAAATGACAAGGATCTCCTTTATATATGAGGGGGAATTCCAGCATAGTACAAATCCATTAATTACAAAGATATGGGCCGGTACAGCCATTTAATGCCTTGATTCATTTTTGGACTAGTCCACTAGACTTTGTCAGCTCTAGTCACGTCCCTTGGGAACCTCACACCGATCCACCGATGCCACTGCTTTACCCTACCTCGAGGTCGACCATTGCCTACGCTACCTCGAAGTGGATCACTGAGAACCCTCGAGGCCGGAGCCCCGAGCTAAGCTTCGAGCCTTCGGGAGGTGGTTTCTTCGAGGCGCCTTGACGATCGTAAAATTGAACCTCCGATTTTTGTCATATACAGATAGTCCACGCGTTTCTTAGATAAAAATGATAAGAAACGGCTCAGACACCGATCTCATCGAGCCTCTTGTGACGACGTCACATATATGACATCAACTTTTGTGATAACTTAGACGTCCCATCAGCGCATCTTTCCTAGGAACGCTTATTGCACTGTCAGTTTATTTTTTCAAAGTAATAATATAGTCGCCGATCTGTCTCTCAAAAAAATATTGATTGTGTCTGTCGATACATTTCTCAAAAAGGCATTGATTGTCGTCGGTTATGCTGCCATATTCATATAAACGGGGCTTTCTTGAACCCAAACTACATTCCATTGCTCTTCTACTCTTTTCTTCCTTTCATCCTCATCCATCCTTGTTTTTTATGTTTGAAAACCGTGGCCATAAGGCCATACGGCAATGCTTTCATCAGTCATGCCATGCCTCTTTCTCAGAGCTATCTCCCTCCGAACGAGATCGCACTAACTTCTTCTTGTTGTTGTTGTTGTTGTTGCTACTTCTGTAATCGTTGGCTCGAGACGATGAAATAGGGGTACCGATTTCTTCCCACTCAAGAAGATATTCGGACTCTACACCGCTGCTCAGGAGGGTGTTCAGACTTTACTCCGCTGCTTACCTCCCTACTCCGGCCTGGTGTGACACTTCATCCCTTTTGCCTTCCGTGGGGTGAAGCGGCACTACCGGCCACTAACCTGCACGGCACAATGTTCCAAGAAGTGGACTCAAAGTAGCCGTGCAGGTAAGGCCTACGCCCGCCAAGTCTTCCACCAGGCTGTAATTTTTTCGGGCTGGTAAAAGCTTTTGCTCTTTGGCAAGCTGTGGCTTTTTCTTCATCTTATTTTGCTTCTTCTACATCGTTTTCCTCTTCTTCATCTTCTCCCTTGGAGATGCCATTTTGGAAGACCGTGATGAAGCCCCCGAGGAGATGATGCTCGAAGACACTGCTGCCAAGGATGCACCCCCGAGGATAGATTAGACTCTTGGCTTTCATTGTATGTATTTTCTTTTGCTTCTTTGTTTCTATGTAAGGACCCCTCGTGGGCTTTTGTAACCGTTGTTTATTAATGAAAAAGACGTTTCTTCAATTTGCCTCTGATTTATGCTTTATTTCCCTTTATCTGCACTTGTGAAAAATCTGAATGCGTGATTCTACCGACCGGTACGAATACCGAGCTCGGGCGTAAGTATTTCTCTGGCTCTTGACTAATTAACCCGATTCCCTGTGGATCCTTTTGCCATTCCTTGGACCGAACCCGGGTTGGATTCGGGACCCCAGACTTCGAGTTGAATGAGAATAGGGCTTCGAACATTCAGAATGAGACTTAGCTTTTCAGACCCCGTGGTATTCCTCGAGGGAGGATTTGCTCGGATGTCTAAGAATAAAGATAGCCTGTAGGCTTTCGAAAATGATTCCTGAGTGAGATTTCGCTCGAACTCGGGCGACTTGGAAACTTTGTTTTGAACTTAAAGGGAGTATAGCCCCAAGGCTTTGTAGATAGACCCCGGATGAGGGTACGACTGGGCTTGAATAGCCCCTAGGTTAGAGTAACTGAGAAAATGTTTAACTTGATCCAAAGGAGAATTTGAGCGATCCACACTTGCGATAGCAGAAATTCTCGAGGTAGGGTACCACCTTGAGGTCAAACCCATATGAGTGAGTTTTAGAGCTTATCTTCTTCTTGGTAGAGGTCCTCGAGATTAGGTACCATCTTGAGGCTTACAACGATATAAATGGATCCTTGGAGCATACCTTCCTTGTGATAGAAGTCATCGAGATCGGGTACCATCTCGAGGATGTAATGATGTCAATGGCTTTCTAGAGCCTATTTTCTTTTTGATTGAAGTCCTCGAGATCGGGTACCATCCCGAGGCTTGTAATGATGTCAATGGCTATCTGGAGCCTACCTTCTTTTTGATAGAAGTCCTCGAGATTGGGTACCATCTCGAGGCTTGTAATGATGTTAATGGCTTTCTGGAGCCTATCTTCTTTTTGATAGAAGTCCTCGAGAACGGGTACCATCTCAAGGCTTGTAATGATGTGGGGTTTTGATCCCCGAAATATCGTTCGGCAGTGTTAATTGCATGACATGGCTATAAAGCGACCAAGGCAGTTCCGTTGGTACATCTTCCCAAAGCGAGAAATGGCTTAGTTAGCATTTTTAACTGGCCTTTGAGGCAGGCGGAAAGTCGCCGCTTTCTCCACATATAGGGTTGTATTCCTTCTTTTGAGGATTCCGCTATTCCGAGTAGTCATCCTCCTCTATAGAGCTTTCCTTTCCTGTGTTAGAACCTTCACCATTTCAATTTTGAAGGCCTTGCTCGGATTTTCTAGTTTTACCACAGTTATGGCTGCCACACCAAGGTCCGCTCGTCAAGGAGAGGGGGGTTCCGCCCTTGAAGGCTTTTTGAACCAAAATGCTTGGGGTCATCGGGAGTATGTCTCGAAGTTTACCTCTTTAGTAGGAGAGGGGCACCTTGAGTCAGTGAGGAAAGACTGTGGATGGGGGGAAAGGCAGTACTACGGGCACTTTCCCCGGGAGAGAGAGCATCCTGGACCATGCTGAGGGGTTTTTGAACGTATACACGTACCCCTTCACGCTAGGCCCCCTGATTGGGTTGTGCTTGACTTCTGTGGAAAATACCAGGTTACCTTGGCGCAGGTTCACCCGTCA